TCGTTCTGGAGCAGCTCCAGCCTCGGGTCGGACAGGTAGTACTGGCCGCCGTGGTGCACGAAACGGCCCAGGTCGCACGACGCGCCGGCCTCGCCGTGGCGCTGCGCGAGCGTGATGACTCCGGGCCTGACCTCGTGGAACGTCAGCGACACGTCGGGGTCGCCGGGGGAACCGGAGAACCAGATGGCCGGGTTCAGGAAATAGCGCGTGCTGCCGCACGACGAGGTTCCAATGGTCAGGAGGCCGCCCAACTCCTCCTCGACGCTGCAAAGGTAGCCGGAGTCTTGCAGGGAGACCCAGCCTGGAGTTATGTTGCTCCCATCGTACTCAAGGACTACATCCCAGAAATAATTTCGAGCACCCAGAAAAGTATCGAAACAGTCTCGAACGAGTAATTATCGCCCCCCAGGGCCCAACACTTGAAAACCCTCGAGCTTCGGTACTTTCTTGATGCTCGAACCTCTTTCTGGCGATCTAGGCCAAGTAGGTTGGCACATCATAAACCTGGAGAGCAGTCGTCCGTCCCGTACCTGTTGCCCTGATCGAAGCAGGACTGCTGGCAATACATGTTCAGTGCCCAGGCGTCGCCCGGAGCAGCGCCGCCGCAAAGCCAGGTCCAGGTCTGCATCTCGTACGCGCTGCAGCTCCCCTTGTCGTTCACCATCCACGGGGGCGCGTTGTCCGTGCACGTGGCGGGGGGCGCAAGGCCGTTTCCAGAGTAGGTGGGGTCGATGTCGCTCCGGTGCTCGCCTGCAGAAGGGCTGCTGAAATGAGGAGCGCTAAAGAAGGAACGACGCCCCTTTTGGGCACCAGCAGCGCCGGGGTGCACGAGGAGGGCTGGGTGAACAACCATGGAAGGACCCAAGGAACATCGAGCCCTTCCGAGCCCAAGCGGTTCCTTTTCTCAGCGTCTTGGCAATCGAAAAATAATCAGCTGTATAAAAACACAAACTTTCGAATGTCCGCGCGAATTCCTCAAGTAGAAGGGCGCTGGACTCCCATCCCTGGCGCGTGGGGCGGCACCCGAGGCGCCGCAGGTGGGGGCCCAACGCCGAACCAAAAAAAGCGCGCCGACCTCGGAAAGCTCATGCCCGGGTCTCATGAGGATCTTTGTCTTCTGCGATCGCCGTCGACGTAGATCTTGTTGCCCGTGATGCTGATGGGCTTCCCCACGTCTGCGGCACTGAACGCGAAGGAGTGCCAGCGGGAACCCTGCGCGCACAGCGATCGCGGCGAGCCGACCAGAGGGCTGAGGGTCCGCCTGCTGCTGACCCGCTTGCGGTAGTACTCGCGGTGCGACTCGGCCGGGGCCTGCAGCTGCGTCCTGTCGGCGGCGAGCGAGGGGGGGAAGTGAGAAGTGGCGGGCCTTCTCAGAAGGCTCGGAAGTCCCCCGGCCTTCCGAGAAGTTTTCTGAGCCCAGCCCGAAGACACAACATTACACCTGAGAAGACTCGAATCAGTGGATGATGTGAAGATTCATACCATGGATCTTGAGATCGACTGTGAGATCGATAATGAGATCGAGAGTGTAATCGATAGTGAGGACGATTGTAAGGTCGATCGTTAGACCGAGAGTGAAATCGATTCAACGAGATCGATAGTGAGATCGATCGCGAGATCGCTCATGCAATCTCTAGTGAGACGGCTCGTGAGATCGATAGTGAGATCGATGGTGCGATCGATAGAGAAGTGGGTAAAGAAATCGATGGTGGGACCGATCGATAAGAAGATCGACCAAGAACCCAGGAACCCGGGCACCTCGGCCCGGAACCCAAATCCGGGAACCCGGGAGCCCGGAACCGGGAACCCGGGAACCCGGCGTGCGACCAAAATCGGCGTGGAGCTTTCGCCAAATCCTTCAACTTCTGCGAGGATCCCTTCATTGCAAGCACTGGTTGGGGAAAAAACCTCTCAGAAGGCGCGGGGGCCTCCGAGAAGTCCCCGCCGCCTTCTGAGGAGGCCTTCTCCTTCTCACTTCCCCCCCTGGGCGCCGCGCAGCCGACTTCAGTCTTCGGGTCATACATCGGGTCTCCGCGAAACTCCAGGCTCGCCCGGAACACCCTCGGCGAGGCGCAGCCGCTGGAGCGCATCCCGAGGCCGGAGAGCCGCCGAGAACCGCCGAAGACGCCCGAAACACCTCGAACCTCGAAGCTCGAACCTTCCTCCCCTCGCTCTCCTTCTCACTTTCCCAGGAGGAGGAGGAGGAGAAGGAGGAGGAGGAGGATGAGGATGAGGAGGAGGAGGAGGAGGAGGAGGAGGAGGAGGAGGAGGAGGAGGGAGGAGGAAAAGGAGGAGGAAAAGGAGGAGGAGGGAGAGGAGGAGGAGGGAGGAGGAAAAGGAGGAGGGAGGAGGAAAGGGAGGAGTGAGGAGGAGGGAGGGGACCCCTCGTTCGCCGCCGCTCCTGACCCAGGACTGCAGCGTCGTCTGGCTCAGCTCCTCCAGGCTGCCGCGGGTGGGCCCGAAGGTGGCCTGGCGGCGCGGGGGGAAATCGGGGATCTCGAAGAAAACCGGGGGGGGAGGAGGAGGAGGAGGAGGAGGAGGAGGAGGAGGAGGAGGAGGAGGAGGAGGAGAGAAGAGGAGGAGGAGGAGGAGGTGGAGGAGGAGGAGGGAGGAGGAGGAGGAGGAGGAGGAGGGGGAGGAGTAGGACGAGGAGCCAGAGGGGGAAGAGGCGGAGGAGGAAGAGGCGAAGGAGGAGGATGAGGAGGCGGAGGAGGAGGAGGAGAAACGGGGAAGAGGAGGGGGAGGAGGAGGAAAAGGAGGAGGAGGAGGAGGAGGAAAAGGAGAATGAGGATGAGGATGAGTCCTGGATTATGCAAGACCTCTTTTTCTCAGGGTCGGCTCATCCTGATGCATTCCCTGGCAGCCTGGGGACCTCGGACCCCCGACGTCGTGATTTTCTCGCAGCGTCAACGCCCAGAGGTATGGACCCCTTCCCCGGGGTCGTCTTTTCGTCCTGCGAGTTGCTTTTTGACGGTCCCGGGGCCCGGTAGGGGCCCCCGGAAACCGAAAAACGTGAAGTACGCGACCGTGAAACCCCACACACATATATTATGGCTGGAGTGTTGATAGCTGACTTGAAGCATGTGAGAATGATGTTGGTGGCCGTTGCCTGCACACGCCCTACGGCGTCGAAAAAGTGCCGCGCCTGCTACGCCCTGGACGACCGGCTCGGATAGCGGCCGCGCTGAGAGACCACCACCTGCGGACCCCCTATGGTTACGAGAATGTGCCACGCCTGCTACGCGGATGGACGGAATGGGAGGGAGGGGCGGAATGGAAGGGTGGGAAGGAGGATGGGGGCGACAGAAACCAGGGGAGGGAGGAGGAACGAGGGCGAAAGGGACAGGGCGGAGACGAAAGGGAGGGACGGAAGGAAGGAGAGAGGATTCTGCTCTCGAGGAGCCAGTCGCCTTTTGTGGGCATTCCGCTGCGTTGCACAAAGCCTGCGAAGGTTCACCAATTGGCGAAGGAAAGCGGCCGCCGGGGGAGGTCGAGGAGGGAGAAGGAGGGAGAAGGAGGGAAAATAGGAAGGAGGAGGAAATGAGGGAGCAGAGGAGGGAGGAACACAGGAGGAGGGAAGGAGGCAGGGGGAGAGGAGAGTCATGCCAGGGGGGCAAGGCAAGGGGGGGAGAACGCATCTTGTTGAAAGGGAATCTACGCCGCACCAGCGCAGAGACCCCAGCGGCGCGGCGCGGAAGCCAAAACGTGTTGTGCGTTCAACTCGAGCCAGACTGTTTACAGTCCTGATGTGGAGGGAGTGTCACGCCGGGCATGCTCTGCGCAGTGGTCCGCATAGGCGCCACGCTCAGGGACCACCCCCTGCGCGCCCCGTCTGGTGTCGGGAAACAGCCACGCCTGCTATGCCCTGCGCCATGACCCGCATGGACGCCGCGCTCGAGGACCACTCCCCACGCCTGCTATGCCCTGCGCCATGGCCCGCATAGCGGCCGCCCTCAGGGACCACCGCCTGCGCACCCCCTATGGTGTCGACAAAACCCCACGCCTGCTGTGCCCTGGACGACCGTCGTGCTGTGCTGTGCTGTGCTGTGCATTGCTGTGCTGAGGTGCTATGCTGTGCTGTGCTGTGCTGTGCTGAGCTGTGCTGAGCTGTGCTGAGCAGTGCTGTGCTGTGCTGAGCTGTGCTGCGCTGTGTGAGAAGGAGAAGGAGGAGGAAGGGAGGTGAGTGAGCGTCGCGGGTGCGACGCGGCAGGGAAGAAAACCATAACCCCACGAAACATGTGGGGAAAAAACTCCGGTCGTGATTTTTCACAACCCGCGGGGCTCTGGGATTAGGTCGGGCATGTCCTCCTACAGGCGGATTGTGGAAGAACAGCGCACAGATTCAAACAAGTATCCCACATAGTCAGAACCAGGCACGAATCATCCTCCCTACTTGGATCGCCGTGGTGATTGCTAAGGAGATGAGGGGTTTAGAAGTGGATGCTAGAGTGGGTTTTATCTGGCCAAGCCCAACTTATACGTGGGTTACAAGTGCGCTATGTGGCTTAGGATGATGAGGCAAAGTGGGCTCCGCCCACTTAACCGAGATCTGTGCGCCCTTAAGCCACTTAGGGCACGTGCAACCCACTTCTGAGCTGGGTTGGGCTGGATAGAACCCACCCTAGCATCCAGTTGTATCCCCCTATCCAATTAGCACCCCCCGCGGCGATCCAAGCAGACTAGTGTTTAAACTATTCTTGAACTTTCCTCCTGCAGAGGGACATGCCCGACTGACGTCTGGGACCGGCCCCGGGAGCCCGAAGTCGGCGAACACCTCCTCCTCCTTGTCGACATTGGCCAGACTCGAAGCATGATGCTCGCAGCGTTCGTGTGCCCTGCTCCTCCTCCTCCTCCTCCTCCTCCTCCTCCTCCTCCTCCCCCTCCCTCTCCCCCTCCCCCTCCCCCTCCCCCTCCTCCTCCTCCTCCTCCTCCTCCTCCTCCTGCTCCTCCTCCTGCTCCTGCTCCTCCTCCTCCTCCTGCTCCTCCTCCTGCTCCTCCTCCTGCTCCTCCTCCTGCTGCTTCTCCTGCTCCTGCTCCTGCTCCTGCTCCTCTTCCTCGTGGCCCCTCTCCCTCGGGACCCCGAGGCTGTGGACCCGGCGGCGCGCCCCATGGGGCGGGGCGAGTGGCGCGGGGGGGGCGGCCGTCCCAAGACGGCGAGGGGCTTCTGGGACGTCTTGGCGGCGAGCGAGGGGGGGGGGCAATGAGAAGGAGAAGGCCTTCTCAGAAGGCGGCGGGGCTTCTCAGAAGCCCTCGCGCGCCTCCTGAGGCCTTTCCTGTGCCTCCGGGGAAGGCTTGGGACACTTCTCAGAAGGCCGGGGCACTTCTGAGCCTTCTTAGAACGCCCACCCCTTCTCACGTCCCCCCCGGGCCCGCCGCCGAAATTCGGACCCCCGAAATGGGAACGGAACAACTCGCAGAGTCCCCCCGGCGTTCTGAAAAATCGTCACCTGACGATTCGTCTACTATTCCGGAGCACTCCTCCTGTGGAGGGACGTGCCCGACCTATTCCTGCCGCCACGCTGAGGAATGCTCCGTAGATGGGGGGGGCGGCCGTCCCAAGAAGGCGAGGGGCTTCCATAGAGGCATCGTAGATGGGGTCTAGGTAGATGGGGTCGAAGGATCGCGCCGCATCGCCAACGCATCGCCGATGTAACGGCGATGCATCGACGATGCATCGGCGACGTCGGCGATGCATCGGCGATGCATCGGCGACGTCGGCGCGGAGAGAACTGGGCTCCACAACGAACCGTATCGGCGATGCATCGGCGATGCGGCGCGATCCTCCGACCCCTTCTACTCGGACTCCATCTGGGAGGCCTAGATTCCAGGCATCCTGACCCCCGAAATGGGAACGGAACAGATCCCCTCCCCCTGGCATTGTGAAAACACGACGGGATTCTTGTTCTCGCTATCTTCGGTCTCGAGAGTCTTCAGGGGCCCTGACCGGGCCCCGGGACGGTTAAACAACGACTCGGGATGAAGCATCTGTCCTGGGAAAAGGGTCCAAACCTCTTGGGGTCGACGCAGTGACCAGTGGGAACGGAGCAATGCCCGTCGGTCGGACGAGGCGGGTAGAAGCATGAAGTGGGACGGCGTTGGAAGTAGACCGGGCTTACGCCCGCCACCTGAAGACGAAGGAAAAGGGGGGGGCCCACTCGATCACTGAAGCAGGAGGGCGCCTGACATAGATTGGGACGAGAGGGTCCAGACTGCCTACGCTCGACGACCGACGAGTTCGGCAATCACGATGCCCAACAGCACACGTTGCCCCAAACCCCGAAGCAGCAGCGGCCGCCGTGGAGCGGGCGGCCTTCTCTCAAAGGGACACCGCCCGCGGCGGCACCGACGGCGAGCCCCTGTTCGAAAGGACAGGAACAACGGTCGGTCTTCGTGCCCAACCTCTCCGTGCCCGGCTCTTTGGGCGTCCGAGCTGGGTACGGGGAAAAAGGGCACAATGCCCAACAGCAAATGTTGTCCCAAACTAAGAGCGGCCGCTGTTGGGCAGGCGGCCCTCTGTCTCAAATGGACACAAGCCGCGGCGGCGCGGACAGCGAGCCCTGTTCAAAATGAACAAGAACTGCTGTTGGGCATTGTACCCATTCTTTCCGGACCCAATTCGTTCGTGTCGAACAGAATCAAAAACCCTCCCGGCTTCTGAGAAGCCTCCCTTCCGTGAACGCCCCCGCCCCTCAAGAAGAATCCCGCCTCCCCATAACGGCCGCGCCCCTCGCGAGACCACCACCCTGTGAGAAGTGCCGATGATTGGGGGACCTATTGAGCAGGGACCGACCGTCCCAGCAGTCCTGTAGGCCTACCACGAAATCTTCTCAGAACCCATGAAGGTTCTGAAAAAACACAACATTGCTCTTAGAACATCAGCCCGATGCGTGAAACAGAGGACAGCCTCAGCCAGCAATGCTCTAAGAGCACTTCGTGCAGACCACAAAAGGCTCTTAGAACATTCTTGGGTGGGCCTATAGGCAGACCAGGACGCTTCGCCACTGCTCGAAGACCTGCGGCCACGACCTCTACCTTCGCGTGGCGCGCGGCGGCGGCCCCGGCGACACGCTGTGCCTCGGCAAGCTGGTGGCAGATGGCTCCGCGCTCCGCAGGGCGGGAGGCTGGGAAAAACTCGCGGCGTTGACGTTGGGGGGGGCCGAGAAGAGGACAGCACGTCGCGTCGAACGCCCCTGCCTCTGAAGAGTTCAGTCAACCCGTATAGTAGGGATGCGCGATAAGGATGCAAGGGCCTTGGAAGACCATGCTGACGTTTTCCGAACGAGGTTGGCCAGCGAAAGCTACCGAGGACGGGCCGAAGGGGCAAGGGTGCAAGGCTAAGCTTGGAAAGTCGCTCATCCTTACTGTGCGGGTTGACTGTACCCCCCGCCTCCTCCTCACGGCCCCGCCCCTCATATGTGGCCCCCGCCCTGTGAGCAGCGCCGGTGACCGGGGGGAACCTGCGGCCAGGAGCTTGGCCTGCGCGTGGCGCGGCGGCGGCCC